CATGTACACACATGCACACACACACATGTACACACATGTACACACACATACACACACATACACACACACACATGTACACACACATGTACACACATGCACACACATGTACACACATATATACACACACATGTACACACATACACACACACATGTACACACATGTACACACACACATGTACACACACACACACACATACACACACACATGTACACACACACACACATACACACACATGTACACACACACATGTACACACATGCACACACACACATACACACACATGTACACACATACACACACACATGTACACACATGTACACACACACATACACACACATACACACACACACACACATGTACACACACACATGTACACACATGCACACACACACATACACACACATGTACACACATACACACACACATGTACACACATGCACACACACACATGTACACACACATGCACACACACACATACACACACATACACACACATGTACACACACATACACACACATACACACACATGTACACACACACACATACACACACACCACACACACATATGTACACACACACACACACACACACACACACACACACATGTACACACACATACACACACATACACACACATGCACACACACACATACACACACACATACACACACATGTACACACACACACATACACACACACCACACACACATATGTACACACACACACACACACACACACACACACACACACACACACACACACACACATGTACACACATACACACACACATACACACACATGTACACACATACACACATGTACACACACACATGTATACACACACACACACACACACACACACACATACACACACAAGTACACACATACACACACACATACACACACATGTACACACATACACACACACACACATGTACACACATACACACACACATACACACACATGTACACACATACACACATGTACACACACACATGTATACACACACACACACACACACACACACATACACACACAAGTACACACATACACACACACATACACACACATGTACACACATACACACACACATGTACACACATGTACACACACACATACACACACACATACACACACATACACACACATACACACACACATACACACACACATACACGCTCATACACACACATACACACACACATACACACACACATACACACACATACACACACACACGTACACACATGCACACACACACACATACACACACACACATACACACACATGTATACACACACACATACACACACACCACACACACACATGTACACACACACACACACACACACACACATACACACACACATACACACACATGTATACACACACACATACACACACACACACACACATACACACACACATACAGACACATGTACACACACACACATACACACACACACCACACACACATGTACACACACACACACACACTGGTGTTCCTCCACAGGTAATTCCACATATAAAGTTCCCAGATGATCCGTGTTCAGCCTTCAGGTTCTGGTGTCCACTTTGGGAGGGCTGGGTTAGAGCAGAACTCCTGCTTTATGGGTTGTTGAGTCTGTAAAGATCCATCTTCTGTAGATGGAGAGGGGTTACAGCTGAGTGTGTGTGTGTGTGTGTGTGTGTGTGTGTGTGTGTGTGTGTGTGTGTGTGTGTGTGTGTGTGTGTGTGTGGTGTCTGACACAAAGCTGAAGTTAAACCCATCCATGCCAGCTCCTCTTTGGGCCAAAGCGTGTTCTTGTGTTGTGGTTCTGATGGTACCCACAAGCAGAACCAGAGCGGCTCACAACTGAAAAGGTTTAATAGTAATACATTTCAGAATCTGCATCTGGATGTTTTCTGGATTCCTCACAGCGACGGATAATCACGGGAAACATCCGCGGACTGGTTCCCATTAGATCAGGAGCAGAAGTTCATGAGAAAAGATGAAAAATGCACTCCAACATTCTGGTGCCAAACTCAGGCTGGGTTCTAGCAGAAGCTGCTTGGTGTCCTTCACTGCTGCTGATCGCGCTTTAACTGGAGACTTCATGTTTCATTAGACTTTCAACTGGAGCTACGTGGCTCCGGCCTGCCTTTGGGTTTCTGCACCGGTGCAGGAACAAAAGAAGCTGTTGACAAAATAGTGATTAGATGTAGCCTAGTTGTTTCATTGAAACAGAGAAACAAATGTCCGTTTTCCTGGAACGCTGAGCCAGACTAAGCAGGAGAAGCAGCTTTCTCCCTCAGACTCACCTGTTCTACACCCTGTTTGGGTTTTCGGATTTACTGCTGGAACCAGGGGACGCGGCTCTGGGAGCACGCCCCCAGTGCTGGGAGCATGATGCCAGGAATTCCTCTGACGGGGAGGGAAATCTGCCAGGAGGAATATGGAAATATGTAGATTTTCTTTCACTTTCTATCTGTAACTGGTTGCCCATCTCAGCTACCAGTAGCATGGGCGGGGCCTCTGAAGCCGACCAATTGGGATAAAGCTTTTCTGGTGCAGACTTTGGCAAAGTGCAGCTCAAAGGTGCAAAAGGTGTGGGGTCAAGCCCACACTTGAGAATCGGGATACTCCACACACTCGCAGCCCTGGATGGGAACATGTGGCTGAATGGTGCAAGGGTTGGAAGTACGAGTACCTACGCCCCTAACTACATGGGTGCACCCTATTGGTTGGCAAAAGCATGCAAACAGTGAGCGACACGAGTAGCAACAACGGGAAAGCTAGTTCTGAGGTCAGTGATCACAAGGAGCAGCGGCATTCACCAAGCTGTGTGTTAACTAGCCTAGTGTTAGCTTACGCGCTACCTGCTAATGCTCACCAATGTACACACGATGCCAGAATCCACCCCGCTGGATTCATAACATTGGGTTGTAAACGGCGTTTACACCGAAGCTGAATTTTAGAAAGTTTGGATCCCTGCTAGGTGTTGTCGCTGGTGGGGTCGCCGGGTTCAGCTGCTGCCCTCATACGGGATCAGACCAGGCATCTCCGAACGGCGCCGCGGACGGTAGGGTTAGGGTAGCGGATGGTAGGGTTAGGGTTGGGGTAGCGGACGGTGGGGTTAGGGTTGGGGTAGCGGACGGTAGGGTTAGGGTAGCGGATGGTAGGGTTAGGGTTGGGGTAGCGGACGGTAGGGTTAGGGTTGGGGTAGCGGACGGTAGGGTTAGGGTTGGGGTAGCGGACGGTAGGGTTAGGGTTGGGGTAGCGGACGGTAGGGTTAGGGTTGGGGTAGCGGACGGTAGGGTTAGGGTAGCGGATGGTAGGGTTAGGGTTGGGGTAGCGGACGGTAGGGTTAGGGTAGGATGATCAGGATTATCAGTATAAACTTCCCCGTCTTCCTCCTGAAACAGATGTCTCACCCAGTAAAATCATTTTTTCTGCAAATCCGGAGAGACTCTGAGGGCTGTTAGTCGGTTTTGCTGACCACTGCGGTTCATCACTGTCCTCAGCCTCCATCAAAGGTAATGAAAATAACAAGATGAGTTCACATCCTTGTCTGTTAGTCCAGCCGACCAATCAGCAAGCTGTCATCATTTTACCGTGAAATCCACCAAACAAAAGTGCTAAAAGGCTTCAAACAGGCTTGTTCTGATTGAGTTCAACGTGTGTAAACCTGTCAGCCATCCACCAGGGCAAAGGGGGCGGGGCCATGAGTGACGTGACATCACCTGCTAAAGGTCAATTGGGGCTGAGCCAGTATGAGCTCAAACCAGTGGCCTGGATTCAAATGCTTCCTCTGAATGAATGAATGAAAGAATGAATGAATGAATGAATGAATGGAACTTTTTTTAGTCTTCCTGAGGTGACAATGATGTAAGTGAGAGAATCACCTCCAAACCGTTGCTTAATGGACTCAGTAAGGAGTGTCCGCCCACACACACACACACACACACACACACACACACACACACACACACACACACACACACACACACACACACACACACACACACACACACACACACATTGCTGCTGCACACATTCATAAACTAAAATCGTGACTCTGAGCGTGTGAAGCCCACGAGTGAGAGGCACCAGAGGCAGCGATGTTACTCACTGCCTGGCTCAAAGGTTCCTCAGAATCATCAATCTACAGACCTCAACATGTGCCAGGGTCACACAAGACTGAGATAAAAGCAGAAGCCTACCCGGTGGGGTCTAATACCTGGAGCACAGTGGGAGGACATGCAGCTCACAGATTTATGGAACCACGAAGGTTCCAGCTGCCGACAGACAGGTCACACTTTCATTTTGGGCCCTGGACCAGAACAGGCTCAGCATCACGCCTGAAACGGTTTTATCAGAGAGAGGCAAGACAGAAGTTTGTTTTCCACTTTTTAGACTCAGCCGTAGCTCCAACCAACACAGAGATCCTGGTGGGAACGTTTAGCTGACTCCAAACACCCGACCGCTACTGCCGAGTCAGCAGGAAGCCTGCAATCAGCAGGGTGTGTGTGAGAGTCTAGCTCAGATGTGGCTAACACATGATGTGTGTTTGTGACAGGCTTAGTTTACATCAGCAGACTTTCAGACACACACACACACACACACACACACACACACACACACACACACACACACACACACACACACACACACACACACACACACACACACACACACACACACACACACACACACACACACACTCAGCCGTCCCATGATGCTGTAAAGTGTGTTTGTTGTTGCTCGTTGCCATGGTAACCTTGGGGGGCTTTGCTCTTTGCGCCTCGATTCAGACTCAAGTTTAAAACTTTTCCTTAATCAGTCATTTGTTAGTCCGTTACCATGACAACAGGTCCCTTCAATGAAGGATTTCTTTTGATCCATCAGGATAGTCGTCATGAGAAGTTGGACATAGGAAGTCTGTCAGCCAATCAGAGAGTAGAAGACAGTGATGATGTCATAGTTTAGATATTCATGTCTCTGTCTGTCCTTTGCAGGTGACTCGGAGGGAGTAGTGAGCTTCGTCCTCTCTAAGGAAGGAGGAGACATGTCTCTAGTGGAGCAGGCTAACGTGTGGCTCTTCCTTCGATTGGCCAAAACCGACCGCAGCCGGGCCAAGGTCACCATCCGCCTCTTCCAGCGCCGCCTCTCAAACAGACGGCCCTCTCCTCCACAGGATGATGTCCTGCTGGTGGAGAAGACGGTGGACACGCGACGCAGCGGCTGGCACACCTTTCCGGTTTCGACAGCGGTGCAGACGCTGCTGGAGAGGAAGATGAGCTCAACGCTGAGCCTCCGGGTGTCCTGTCCCCTCTGCGCTGATACCGGAGCCACGCTGGTTCTGGTGTCAGACAACCCAGAGATGTCCCAGCGCAACAACCAGCGTGAACAGTCCCACCGACCTTTCCTCATGGCCGTGGTCCGCCAGGGTGAAGGTTTGGACTCGCGGCGGCGCAGGAAGCGAGGGCTGGAGTGTGACGGGAAGGTCCGGGTCTGCTGCAAGAGACAGTTTTACGTCAACTTCAAGGACATTGGCTGGAACGACTGGATCATCGCCCCGTCTGGTTATCATGCCAACTACTGTGAGGGTGACTGTCCCTCCCATGTTGCGAGCATCGCCGGGTCCACGTTGTCCTTCCACTCTACCGTCATCAGCCACTACCGCATGCGGGGCTACAGCCCCTTCCAGAACCTCAGGTCGTGTTGCGTGCCGACCCGGCTACGCGCCATGTCCATGCTCTACTACAACGAGGAGCAGAAGATCATCAAGAAGGACATCCAGAACATGATTGTGGAGGACTGTGGCTGCTCATAGACGCACACTGGAGTGGACCGGTTGGGGC